TTATGGTGAACGTGCTTTTTCGTTTTGTGCGCCCAAACTTTGGAACAATCTTCTAAATGCAATTAAACAAGCAAGCTCAGTAGACATTTTTAAGAAGGATCTTAAGACATTTTTATTTAACAAGGATACATGTATAGATTTTTAATATCTAACTATCTATATATAATATTTTATTTTTCTTCGTTTTTCTTTCTTCTTTTTTTTTCTATTTTTTGTGTTTTTTTTATTATTATTGTAAAGTCCATTGAGACTAGATGAAATGGGCTATATAAGCATTAAATKTATTATTATTATTTATTATAATACTTAATTTTTAAATTGCTTTGTTGTTAGGATGAGAATCTGCACCAGTGTGACAGAACATGAAGTTGCAAGAGCCAAGAATCTGTTGAAAACTAATATTCTTATGCAGTTAGATGGTATGATGGACGCTGGTTTTTCTCTTGGAATGTAATTGATTGACTGTATGAGTAAATGCATTGATTAATGAACAAATGAATGACTAAATGGGAAGATTGAATGGAAGAATGGGAAATGAAATGAACTAAAGAACTAAAATACATTTATACTGACATCTTAAATAATACATTGGATAATATAGTAATTACTTTTCCTGAACGTTTAAAATATAATTATTAAATACTTCTTTACTAAACTTTTTCACTTTCTGCTCTGTAGGTTCAACTCCAATTTGTGAAGACATTGGAAGGTATGTGAAGAGAAATTAACAATTAGACCTCGACGTCGAGTGGACTACTAGCTAATAGCCCATGAGGCCGAGTCCGTGAGGCGTAGTTCACGAGGCCGAGAGGTCTAATTGTTTTAGTATAAACATACCAATCGCTCAAATAATGAAAACAAATTGAAATATCCTTAAAATCATTTATTAATGAGATGCCGCCATTTTGATTTTCCTGCGAGTGGTCTATCACAAATGAGACCATTAGTAGAGTAGCCAATCACAGCGCAGTATGAGTGATAGACCATTAGTAGAGTAGCCAATCACAGCGCAGTATGAGTGATAGACCATTAGTATGTTTATACTAATAAGGATTTAAAGCAGTAATAAGTCTCTTCATTTTGTAATGTGTCTTCTAAATTTTCAGACAAATGTTGACTTACGGTCGACGTATCCCTCTTCCTGAACTTGATATGAGAATAGAAGTAAGTACAGTCAAATTTACTTTATAATTATCGAAAAAATTTTCAAAAAAACGTGCTCAACTTTGTTAAGGAGCATTGTATAGAGTAAAATTGTACTTAAAGACTTGAATGATGAATGACTTGATTGCAACACACCTGGATCTGAGTCAATAGTAATTTGATATTTTTTGCTTATTGAAAATAAAGATGATTGATGCCAAAACTGTCAAAGAAGTTGCCACCAAGTACATATATGATCGTTGTCCTGCTGTTGTTGGTGTTGGTATGTAGCAGAAGAGAATGTACTGTTATAAGTCCATGTGTCATCAATGCGTTTTTGTGTTATTTTTGTAATCACTTAAGGACTAATACAGATATGCTATAAAAAAGTCCAAGGCTGGACAGGCCACTTAGATGCATGTATCATAGCCTTGTCCCCAGCCTGCTCTCTTTTCACCAGGATTATGTCATATGCACGTTTCGTGCTACTCCTTGAACAGTCCTGGAATTGAAAACTCGTTTTCAAGGGCGCTGGAAAGCCCTTGAAAGCCCTTGAAAATGGGGAACATCGTTGAAACTCCTGGAAAACTCCTTGAATCTGATAAAATTAACATGTTGCTTGTTAGCTTTTGGATTGAAATGTGGGTATTTTTGAAAATTGCCACTTGAAACATCCRAAAARCATCAAAAATATCTTCAAATTATACTCCTTGAAAAATTGCATTTTTGTGCTTAAAAAGWACTTGAAAATTCCTGKGATTTTGTAGTGAAAATGTAGCATGAACCCTGCATATGGCAAATGTCATGCTTCCTGAATAAGCTTCTGTTGGACAGCTTGGACAGTGAAATCAGTCGACAGAGYRAAGCCTGGGGATGAGGATGTACATATCTGCAGTTCTTATCATATTCTGCTTGACGCTGTSGATATGGCCTCTTATCCTTTGCTTCCTGTCTTTGTGTTTGTCACTCCAACTTTATCCATTTTTCTTCAGTATTTGATATTAATTTGTTTCATTTTAGGTCCAGTTGAACAGTTACCTGATTATAACCGACTCAGAGGTGGAATGTACTGGTTAAGGATATAAATAGATTATGCTATCATGTTCGTCTGCATTTCTCGGTGGATATGTTTATTGTATGTTTAAACAGCAGACCAGTTGGTCCACCTTGTAAAGATATTGAATTGTTTTATTAAAAGTGAATTTTGATTGTAACAAAGTAGAACTTTCGTTCAGTGTGAACAGTTTTATTTATTTGTTGAAGATAAAACAATTTGAAACGCCTTCGTCTGCAAAACGAAAAACCGTCTGGATTCCGATAATCGGTTTTACGATGGCTTCTTATTTATTACCACGTGTCATTATTAATTGATAATTCGATTATCGAGTCTTTATCGTTACCATTGTTTTTTCCATGGAAAAACCTGAAAAGATTCAGGTGATAGCACTTTGATCTTTCCGATGTGCGATGATTTCTATCAATAGACGTTACTTTAGTCTCGTGTTTTTTCCTCTGAATGATCCATTTTATTGTGTAGTTGAAAATTGTGAAGATATGATAGATTCCTTTGTTCATTTTATTTTTGTTCCTGATGTGTCCTTTTTATAGAAACATTCAAATTCTGTAATTCGTCGAGCACAACGTTCTATTGAGCTTGATTACCGAATATTTCCCCGCGCAACTACAGGGATCCCATGCATTTCATGGCTTCTTGGGAATTGTAATTTTTTTAGTCATTTTGACCAATTGTGGCTTTTGCCATTTGTTTTCATTATTTGATGAAATGAAAATAAACAAAAAACAACGTGTAGTCTTCTAATATTCCAACCATTGYCACTTTTAGAGGCATGAAATAGAAATGCTCACACCGTATCATGTGAAAATCATACAATGCCACCCGCTCAAGATGCCATGTTTGAGAATAGTATCAATAGCGTTTTTTTTATATAAAACTCTTTCATAAGTTTYGGGACGTATCCGGTTATCTTCAAAAAATATGTATGTATATAAAATCTATCTGAAAAAAATCTTTACTTTCTCTGTTTTGAAACGTTATGCCAAAATGYGTCATGACGTCACAAASTACGTCACGCAGGACCGATAAATAAAAACATCAATTTTATTGTAAGCAGTGTTTATAAGCATTTGAATTTCGTGATCTGAATCCATAATCACTAGATTATTTATCTCTTTATTGCTATGGCGCCCTTTTATTTGCAGGATGACTCGGTATTCCCTCACGCTGCGAGAGCACTATTCGAAATTTCCTGCACGGAGCGGCTTTATAATGGTATCTATAAATAGAAACTGATGTGGACCAATCGAAACCTCTTTGAAAGTCGGTATTTGAACAATTTCGGGCTGTCGTCATGACACGTCGGAACGGTGTCGTAAACTTCGAAAATAAAGTGTTTTTGTAATAATTAGAAGTTCTAGAATAGGTAGYCTAAAATTAAAGTAYCAWCGTCGGTTTTTTATTTTTTTAAAGTGGCTCAACATTAGCTGGTCCAAACTGTTTTGAGTTTTGAAACTTGCCGGCTCGTAAATGCATAAGTTTGAACGCATGGTTTTATACCTTCCCTCCAAGAACAACGAAAATACAAAGCTTGTGATTGGTTCAAAAAATAATTGAATTGTTTTCTGATCGATCACGCGTGAAGTAATTGTTCATCAACCAATCAGACTGGTTGTTATATCCTAGGGGACCGGAATAAAGTCATCACCTTGGAATAGAACGTACCCCCCTATACCATAAATTGAAGGTGTGGCGRTATACGGGCCAACGTCCTTCGGCCATTTCCTGATAGAGAGTTTCGTGTTTCTGGCCGAGATCAACCTTAGAATTGCTATATTTTCGTGAGGTAAGGCTACTAAATAGCTATCTGAGGCTATATTATGTACTTATTAATTGATAAAGTATAGTTTAGAAGCAGTTATAGCTCCCACAAGTGCTCGAGAGAGTCGGCATTGGACGGAGACTTTTGGTCCAAGCTGGAAGCTTACTCGATCATCATTCTTACACAATTCTTGTGAATGGTATACCTATTCTTCAGCCATAGGATCTGAGCATTACTTCTAAGCTATACTGAATCCTAAGTTATTATTCTATCGCATTSTAGACACATGTAAACAGGATAGAGTTAGGTATCAGATAATATACTCGATCTTGGAGCGTCACTCAAATATTACTGCAAGGAATTTCTGCTTCAGCTCGTCAATAACTTCAACTTTGAGAGTGAATTGGTTTAATTTATACCAGAGTTGACAGTCTTTCCTGTCTATTGAAGTTGAAATGAGTTGAAAGTGTCGCCTGTTACTCGTTACAAACTCAATTGAAGCTTTCTATAGTTATGTAATGTAAACTTTCTTTTGAATGTGTCTTTAGAGCCGTATTTTCCAAATTGCTCTAGCACACGTTAATTTGAGAGAGCTTATATTCGTGAAGTGTTCCTTTTGAGGTAATCCTATAGGTGTAACAACTATTATTAGTAAAATTGCTGAGCAAATCGCTTCTCTATGTAGAGAAATGCAAAGCTTTGTTGGTTGGGTCGATTATAATGTGTCATGGAGAGAAATACATTATTTTCGTAAATACACTGTGAGTATAAAGTTTGAAAGCTCAAAGATCAGCGTTTTACACCCTGCCACACCAAACCAACCCATATATTTAGATAGAGGGTTCCTATGCCTAGGAATTATGTAAATCTCCACATAACTCATCAGTCTAATGAAGTGTCTAGAACCTCTCTCTACTACTTGTTTCTTAATGACATAATTAAACCAAGGTGGGTTTCAACTATAGGTGTGTTATTACAAGGAATTAATATCTAGTCCAGAAAACTCGAGGTTTAAGATTTTGTTAATCTAGTTGGCCTAAGGTCAGAGGCACTGTGCTACGAGTTGCAGATGATAGTCCGTCAAGTTTCTTTGTGTAGATAGGAAATTGTACTTTCATTTCAGTGCAAACATTTGGTTTGCTAAGTTTTAACCTATAATGAGTAGTTCTGCAACAGTTAAAGAGAGAAGTTAAYCATGTATAAATCTTCTAGAYAATTCTATGAAAATATTACGTTTTCATTGAAAGCATGAACACATTGTCTTTAGGCTAAAAKTTTACCTGTTGATTGCAAAAGCCTGAGTTTTTAAGCAAGTCATTGTTTATTTTGGGAGGTTGTTTCATTTTGAGATTCTTTGCTTCAGGACCTAACTCAAAAATATGTTGCTTATTGAACCTATTATTACCTAACTATCATGAGTCATTGGTTTTGTGGTATTATACTTTGTTGATCAATGTTGTCAGAAGGGTGCGTGTTATTTCAGGTACCAATTAAATAAACTATAGTTGTCTGCTTTATTGTTAGTTGATCAAACTAATTTTACTTTTTTTGTCCAATCCTATTTTACAATGGTACACTCTGGTCTCAATAGAATCATTACATTTGTATTTTCTGCAAATTTTTCAAATGCCTACGTCTTGACGTCCATTACAACATCAATATTGCACTGKAAATTAAGAAATAAATCCTTTTGTACAAATAATGAATTAATAGATATAGTTGCATATTTAAAATACATGATATTGTTTCAAAAGATTAGAGGTTTTCTTTTCTTGCTCAAGATGAGGTACATGCAAACAAAAAACACAAGTTTCTTTAGTAAACTGTCTTAACCTTTGTACTAAATCAGTTTTCTTTTCTTCCTCAGATACATTTTTCTATTCAATAATGGCAGCTATACGTAAAAARCTGGTTATCGTAGGTGATGGTGCTTGTGGTAAAACTTGTCTCTTAATCGTATTTTCCAAAGATCAATTTCCAGAAGTATATGTTCCTACAGTATTTGAAAATTATGTTGCCGACATCGAAGTGGATGGAAAGCAAGTTGAGCTGGCTTTATGGGATACAGCAGGCCAGGAAGATTATGACCGACTACGTCCTCTGTCTTATCCTGACACTGATGTCATACTTATGTGTTTCTCAGTTGACAGTCCTGACAGTTTAGAGAACATCCCTGAGAAATGGACACCCGAGGTCAAGCATTTCTGCCCAAATGTCCCTATCATTCTTGTTGGAAACAAGAAGGATTTGAGAAATGACGACAATACCAAACGAGAACTAGCGAAGATGAAACAAGAACCAGTTAAATATGAAGATGGTAGAGCAATGTCAGAAAAGATTGGTGCTTTTGGATATATGGAATGTTCTGCTAAGACCAAAGAAGGTGTCCGAGATGTATTTGAAACTGCAACAAGAGCTGCTCTCCAAACAAAGAAAAAGAGGAAAGCGAAGTGTGTGCTTGTGTAATTGAGCCGTTACTGTAGTACATATGGACTTGTTTGAACTTTGTACATGACTTCTTTAACAACAGACATTGCGGTCGATGGAATAAAAGTTTTAAAGTCATTCTAGTCCAGCAAATATTCTTTCATAACRATTGCAGCATTTGAACACAATCAAAGGATTTGGCATCKGAATTGTCTTCAAATTTCCTATGCAATGTAGATTTCTATCATTGCTATAATTAAACTAATAAGTGTATTTTTTTTTCGTTACAAAAATTATTGAACACTAACTTCCCCAAACAAATTCAGCAATACAATTCAGTATTTTAAATAGCATATCTTTCAGATTTGTAAAAAAATAAGATAGTTGAAATTAGAAGCTCTGTCACTATTTGCAAGTCGTTAGGTCATTCTTTGGTGAGATAATCTATAGTTTATCTGTTTCTCCTAAACCTTTTTATATTTTTGTCAATTTGAATGAGACTTCCACCTTAGTGTTATTATAGAGATGTAGCTAATGCCRTATTATTATAATGTGAAATATTTTTCCCTAAAAATTGTTTGTTAATATTGATGAATGAATTATCTTGTTTTCCAGCCCATCAATAAATAGATAATTAATAAAGAAAAAGGTGTTTGTAGTTTTATTCTTAATTTCTTTTAAAGTTGATAGAGYCCAGGCCATGCTTAACTCCTTGGGGTTACAATTTAAATCAATTTTCAAACATTCGGGGATCTATTTCATTTTCTGTGCATAGAAAAATAATAGGTCTTGCTGAATTAGCTTCAACTGGTGGCACTCCTTTCTATAAGAACCTTTGGGGTGGGGTTGATATAAAAGGACCACTAAGGATGTAGAGAAAACATAAAGGCTTGCGTGCATTCATGAAACTTGAGCATTTCTTTTGTTTTATAAGTGCTTTGAAAGCTGCTTCAGATGGATAATTTTCATATGTGAAAATCAGTGGCACAAAGATTCTTGGATGCACGTGGGCTTTGAATTGTGAAATTTCATTCACCTCTGTAATATTTTGCACAATTTTGTAAATCATATTTAAATCATATTCCTAAAGAACGATGAATGTTCAAAGGATGTTGACCTTCATATGCAGATTTGTAATGACTTCTGCTGTATTTTTTTGATTTTGTACACTCAAATAAACCCTAKCTGTTTATCACCCTCGCTTTCCCATGTAAAATTATTTGATATGGTTTGATCTTTGTGGGATGAAGAGTACCAATGCCCTGAAAAGCATCTTTAAAAGGAAGTTCATTTCAGAAACTCATTTATGTCATGTAATTGACAAATGCGGGATCCCTGTTTAGTATTAACCGAAAAAGCCTAAGTAACATACACACAATCGTATTTCACTTGCTTTGCGCGCCATTTTATCTTCTTCTCTTCAAACTAGTTTTCAGCGTTCAAAATGTCACGAAAATACGTACAGAAATGTGTCTGTTACGGTTGTAATAATAGCGTCGACCCATTGCGAGGAATATGTCTTCATAGAATCCCTTTTGTAGGCGATGAAAGGCCCGAAGCAAAGCGGCGCAGAAACAAGTGGGCCAAGTTCATAACAACAAAAAGGAAAGATTGGAAACTAGGACCAAAGTCAAGAGCAAGAGTTTGCTCTGCACACTTTAGACCTGAAGACTTTGTTAATCGTTATACTTCTCTTTACAACACTGAAGATTCYCATATTATAAAGCGGTTGGTCTCCGATGACTTTGGTGTTCTGGCCTAYCCTACAATCCATGCAGGCGAGGGKGATCAAAATRTTGACATTACTTCTCYATCACCAAGCCCACGAGAGCGCCGAATTGTACGTTGRAATTAATTMTGTTGCACCAATATTTTTTTGTTGTGTTTGGCCTTGAATTATTTGGAAAAATAAGTTTGTATTGACTATCCAGTTTAAAGGTTTTGTTGGAAAAGTAGAGATGGGAATTGAATGAGATATGAATACAGTAGGTTTCACTGTTTTGCATAAAACAATGCCACTTATGTAACAATGTGAATTGTCCAATGCTGCCCTATGAATATACAAACTTTAGTTTACTAACTTGCATTTGTTGTCTTAGATAATGAGAGAGATAATGAATGATCCTCTTTATGCATCGATTCTTCATCCTGAAAAAATAAAGACAGAAGAAAACAATTCTAACCAAAGTACAATGGATAATGATGAATCTCAAAAACTAAACACTGATCATGGAAATAATATCAGTGCATCACAGACTGACTCTACTGATATTAGTGGCAAGTCTTGTGGCTCAAATTGCACAGCTGACACAGATAATGCAAGGAAAATAAGTAGTTCACAGTGTACTAGTGGAACAACAGTAACCAGCAAGGTACATTGAAGGGCCTGTTTGCGTGAATGAGGGTGTCCCTTTGTAGTAGTGTCCCCATAGTACACTAAACAAGATAGTCACGAAGGGTGCACTCCACAAAATGATCTCAACAGAACACAACTAATGAAGGGTGTAAAAGAAACCCCATGCATTCATTAGTCACTGATATCATGTATCTCATAGTGCCATGTGGTCCTCACATTCATATCTTTACATTCTAATTACCGCAACCCAACATCTGTTTCGCCCTGATCTGCTCCCAGTCTGACCTTGCAACTCAGCTGGTAGAGCATTGGTATTACAAATTGAAGGGTCGTGGGTACGAATCCCAATGAGGTCAGGAATTAATTTTTCCAATTTTATTTCCAAGGGTCTTTCTCCCTCTAACCTCCTTCCTAGCACTATTACTTCCCTTTATTTCTTTACACTGAGAGAAGACCTACATATATATATATATACATACAGACCTTAGGATGCTGAATTCCACCTGCAAAAATAATACTAATTCCACCTGCAAAAATAATACTAATTTATACTTGTTTTATTATAGACACAAGACATGTCAACCCAAACACTGAATTATTGCAAAGATTGTTATAGGCTGAAACTTACAAATTATCAACAGAGTAACCGAATCAAATCTTATCAATTCAAAATGAAACAAAAAAATGCAACTATTATGAAGCTCAAAAGAAGTAAGTAAAACTTGGAAGTTTTCTCAGACTTTCTATTGTAACCCTCTCTGTTCCTTCTCTCATTATATCTATTTTTTTTCTTTTTTTTTTTTTTTTTTTTGCAGGAGTACAAAAACTTGAACTAGAGAAACTTGGTATTACAAAAATAACTGCACAGCCTATGGTGGAAAGAACTAAAGGACAATTAGAGCTCATCCAGTTGGACCACAACTATTTTGGATGATTGAATAACACAGTATCCAGTTGTAATATAATTATTTTACTTTATTGTACAATTTCCTCTTTTTCAGATGTTTCAGTTTGTAAAAAATGGTTTACATAGCAATTATTATTAAAACATTTCTAGAACCAGATTATATTTTTAGTAAATTTATTATAATTTTTATTTTATCTACCCATACYTCACAGCCAGGATTATGCCAGGCACAGGAAGCCCAACATTACGTTGAAAGGGTTACAAACCCACATTAACAAATTAATAATAATTTTTCTKCCTTTGGTGGAGATTTGTTATTTTTCTCTCTACTAGAATGCATTTTATATCCATGAAACTCTTTMGTGACAAAAATATAATGCACATATAAACATTAGAAGAAAAAGGCTTTTGTACTAAATACTCTAGTTTTGAGATCACTTTTTCACAGCTTTGGGCTCRATWGYGTGTAAAAATTCATAGTCTTCTTTGTACATAGAAGTTTSAATGTAAGAATATATGACACACTATCAAGAAGGCTGCATAAATAAGACCTCAAAACTGGACTATTCAATCCACTCTACAATCTACACATTGAAAGTGTTGTATGTACAATTATCAATTTGAAATTTAACTTTCTAAATGTTGGTGTTCTTTTAATGTTTGAGTTCATTAAGTGAGAGTGAGATGTTCATCTTTTTTCCTTTTCTCCAATTTGTTTTTCATGTCCTAATATGTCCGAGAAATTGTAAAATATTAACTGTATTCTTCAATAGTAACTATAAGCCATTGACTGATGAAATATTTGCTGTTGTTGTTGGTGCTACCAATAAATCTCTGTATTCTTTTAATGCTTCTTTTAATGCTCGTCGTACTTGGTTCGAGTTACAAGTTGTGCATTCAACAAGATGAGGGTAGAGCTCCACCACTTGGTTCCAAATTTTCTGGTCAACTAAAAATTATAAACAAATTAAAATTCTTTGTAATGTTGAGGAAAACGTTTTTAACGATTTTTTATGGGAAAATTCTTTCTTTTCTTTCAATTTTTTATTTCTGACATTTTGCTTTTCATTCATTTTCATTTCTTTCACGGGCTTTATTACATTCTTTTTTATTATTCCTATGGTTTTGTACAAACAGAATTTGACGTCATGCAACATTCAGGTTATGACATCATAGTATGTGTAAATGACGTCATGACATACGTACCAACACGTGCATTTTCCCGCGTTAACTTTTTTAAAGACGCAATTAATGTGCTAACTGCTTTCAATACAAATGACATCTCAGCCATTCGCGTTCTGCGTAAATAAACAAAATTCACGTTATATGAAAGAACGTTAACGTATTACTCTTTTACGTTTAAGTTACCTTGGCAATGGGCACTTTCCACTAAGCCTTTCGTCTTCTACGTACTTTTCTAAGACATCTTGGCAACGGCTAAGCATAGAATCCAGCGCTAACTCGGACACTTTACCTTCTAAAAAGCAAAGAATAAATTGATTAAACCAGCACACTTTCTATCGCCCTTAGTTTTCACGACGTTTTGATCCTACCAGGTACGTCTTGTTTCGGCGAGCCGTTGACAAACGAGAATTGTAGTAACGTTTCAAAACATGACTTTGCAAACTCTTCTCGTATGGGGAAGTTACTGGCATCAGTTCCTAGAAGAATTTCGGTATGTCTCTTAAAATTAAGATGAAACGGGTAGTTTGTCTTGTAAAATGAATGGATATAGGAAAGCTAATAACTAGAACCATTTTGAGAGGTTCTTACCGCTGAATGTTGAGTCAGTAGCTGAATGAATGGAGCCTCGGTTCAACAGGGCCATAACTCTTACCATGAAGTCTTTAGGGAGAGTAGACGAGTGGGGTAAAATATCCTCTTGTATCATTCGAAGCAACTATAATTAAAATAACTACCATTTTAAACAAACAAAAAATATGATCGTCTTGTCTGACGTCGCAAGTATATGTCATGCGTCATCATATGTCAAAATCAACACGACATACGTTATAATACGTAGGTGTATTACGTATATGACGTCATAAGTGTATGTAACATTCGGTATATGACGTTATATCAGGTTGTAAGCGATAACTGTATACAAAAACATGCTCACTATAAAATAACAATCCAATAATCACCTTAATGTCCATCTCTTCGTCTTGTTGATGCTGTTCTAGCGACTGAGTGTCAGGAGGGGTTCTGAGAGAACAACAAAGAAATCCGATTTTTGAGATTTATTTTACTTTACAAACTGTTCGGAATGAGGTACTTACTTTTCAGAAAACAGAAAATCTTCCAGACAAGACGCAAGCTCATACCACATAGAACTAAATGATTCTGAAATAAAATACAACGTTTAATGTATATTCTTGAAATTTTATTTTAACTAACAGTGGATACTTCAGTAAGTGGTCACCCCTGGCCGGAAAACACTAGGTTACAGTAGATAAATATATAAAGCAATGTGATCGCTTAAGGGAGGGTGGTCGCTGAAAAGAGGACCGCTATATCGGAGTTTTCCTTGTTATCAGTTGGAGTGATACGAGTTAGAATAATACCTGGATTATTTAGAGCCACAGGTAGTCCAATTCGTAATATGGTAAGAAGCGAATTTACAGCAAGTTTCCAAGTTGTTTGCGATGAGCAGTCGTACTTCATACCCATCGGGGTGCGCAATACCTGATGGGAAAATAATCGTCATCATAACTAATGGTAACTTATCATCATCATCATCATTGCATTCGATACCTTGATGATCTTTTCCAGCACTTTCTCTTGAACAACAGCAGTGTTGTTAACGCTAACACGATACAAGTCAACAGCAATGTTTAAGCACTTCTCGGAAAAAGGTGTTAACTCTAGTATCACCCATTGTTTCTTCCGYCCTATCGAAGGCTCTTCATCCGCTTTTGGGGGGTTACAAGCACAATTAATGAAGTCCACTAATAACATAAATAGTGTAGGATACATCGGTTGACTTGCAATGTCCAGGACAGAGCCTTTAGAATTAGGAAGCGGCTCCCTTAAGATAAGTACAACATCAATAATAGCATGTTGAAGAGGGRTTAGTACAGTGTCTTGAAACGAAGGGACTAAGAAAGGTGACTGGTCAGCGGGTACAGGCATGCGTACCGACGCCTGAAGTATCTTAGACARTTTCTGTAGATCTGCTAATCCAAATCGATTGTACATCCGTCTAAAGAGATTAGGAAATATCTGTACTAATGCCGTTATATATGGTTGCGCGGGATATGTCTTTGTTGTGACAGTCTTTCCCTCGGGATCCACGCGAGTCTGTGTGAAATTCGAATTACACAAGCTTGTCAAACCAATGTCACACCAAACTTTCCATGCATTCATCCACAAGTTTAAGTCCTCAGCTTCTTCATAGAACTTTGGCTTTACTTTAAGTTTATCCTGATTCTTAGCAGCTCGCGCAGGATCTAAAAGCGTTTGCAAATCCACTTCTTCTTTTTCATTATCACTATTTTCACTTGAATCGTGCACCATTTCCTGGAAGCTCTTCAAAGCTGCCAARGTYACCTCAGAAGACGTGCTAAGCGCGGCTGACTCTATRAAYTCCAGTAGTAGCGCCCAGGCTCTTGGAAATTCATCTAAAGCAGCGAGAGTCTGGCGCCGAGTGTTGAAAACCCGTGCTACTCCATTCAGGGTTAGCACTCGCGTTTCCGCCCATTGTTTTTCTGCAGTGTCACGTGAGTGGTGAATAAGGATTTTGTTCTTTGATTGGTTGATATCACTTGGTGGCGGAATATTCGCAGCGGTTGTGGACATGCGCTTTACTTGGTCTAGTAATGGAAATAATACCTAAAGAGAGTTGTATAGTATTACGGTTAGCAAGTTCATATATTGCTATATTTTCCCCGCAAGGGGGGAAGGGTGAGAATCATACCTGCCATAAAACAGTATACCACGTGACTTTCTGTAAAAGTGAACCATGTACACTAATAGTYGAAAACAGTGTCTGTCCAGCACTCTTTCTGACGGCAGGACGTGGATCAACACATAGTTCTCCTAATTTTGAGTAAAGACACATCCACAGACGGTCGCTTGGCGGTACAGGCCGGTCGTATTTGAGACCCTCGAAGCTTGACGAYCCCTCGAGGCTTTCTCGTATTTTTTCTTGATTTTGAGACAAGAAATCTGCAATGTTCCACTGAAAATAAAAAAGAATATCTGTGATGCTAATGCCTAACGTTATAGTACAGAAGCACCTGATAATAGAAATGTCAGTAATATCGAAAAATCTCTACAATAAAGATGTGGCAGTAATACTTTAATATGTTAATAATATAGAGGGTTCCTGTAATAATTACAAAGAGCTGTCTGAAAGTGGAGCTAGGTGCTCGTATTATAGAGGTACCAGTGATATAGAGGTGTCTGTAATATAAAGGTGAAACTTCAAGGTCAACGATAGTCTCCTCTCGCATCCGTTAGGACGTTCGTTCCCAGGTCACTCAGGGGGGAGTGACATGGGAACGAACGTCCTAACGGCTGAGATAGGAGACTAGGTCAAGTTATAAAAAATAGAGCTATYCACTACCATAGTTAATAGAGGGGACTATCTCCCTCTATTAACTATGCYACTACATAACTAAAGGTCGTTTACCAGCAATCCTATGGCTGTGAGGCTAATATTCAACTCAAGTGGCTGAAGACCAAACTTGCCGGCGACATCGATGACGACTTTCAGGTACGCGCATGGCATCAGGGGAAGGAAGTCCGTCACGACCAGCTGAAGGCTTTGGAAAGCGACGCGAATCAGCCCCTCGCTGAAATAAAAAATCCCACATTAATTCAACAGTACAATTCGGTGATTGCTCGATGTTCATTTGTTTTTCCGGTGACTGCTCGTTTGTTTGTTCGGTGTTCATTCGTTGATTCTTCGCTTGTTCGTTTGTTCGGTCGTCTGTCGTCGTTTATTCGTCGAAATATTTAATCACTTCAACCTCCGCCTTACCCTTGCTGGTTTGTTGCTGCTCCTATTACGCCCAGGACACACGGCCAGCCATGTCCGAGGTTTTGGCCAGTCGAATGGAGGATCTGAGTAAGAACACAAAAAGCTGTTAAAATACTTGTTAAATGCACAAAAACTTTGTTGTTAATTGCCYGCTTACCTGAAGTACRCACTCTAGCTGCTTGTATCGAATGTCGGAATATGAAATAGARGACATTTCTTGCAAAGGAGAGAGTAACATCGCCTGTAAACTCTGGAAAAGACAAATAGCAGACTTGAGAAGAAATGGAACAGAAAATGACTTCCTCTTAAGCCCGCAGTACTTACAGTGTTTTCAGTCAGCGGTGGCTTATGATTGTACGTCAATGCAGAACGTACAAGTGACGTCACAGCCTCTGCGCCCCACTCCCTCATCTTTGCATGTGTATGTTGACAAACCTGACAAAAAAATATCACACAAGTTATAACTTTCTTGWCATCTCGATGACCTACACTCCCACGCACCTCAAGTAAATGTGCGGTAAGCGGTTTCCAAAGTACTCTGGCTCGATGTAGGTTATTAAGACCAGTTTCTAGTAACTTAGCAACGGCAAACAGTGATGGCTCCTAATGAAAATAACATTTTTATGCATCAATTTACTACAATGTAAGTTCTTTTTTTCGTCTGTCTGTCCGTAGCCTTCCACTGTACCTTGTTACTCTGYGCTTGCTCCATCGATGTTGTTGACAGCTGACACAATGCGTCAACCAAGTGATGCAGCGCTACATCATCAAGGTACCTGGAAAAACATCAATCAATCCATCATATAATCGATCATTAATCACTCATTTAACCAATAGCTAATATAAATTAGTGATATTAAGATAATACATACTGYGAGGTTTCAAATAGTCTTGATAAAATAGCGGCAAGAACAGGAAGCTCTGCCATTAATGTCTGGCTGATAACCTGTGAGAAACATGTTACGATAACATTGAAAACTGAACCAAATATTACAATAACGCTGATTTGTATAACGACTGAAGACGATAATAACTGCTTACCAAATTAGGGCCTTCACTGGTTGGCATTGCTTTGAGAGTGCCACCCGTCGAGGGCTTCAAACCAAGAATCCATGTCAGGTGCTAAAATGAAATGTTTAGTTTTACTTTAGATTGAAATGWGTTCTTCAAATATATTGTGAGTATATCCTGCAGTATGGTACCTGTAGTGTTATAAGAACCATATGCCATGCTGTACCCAATATACCRCCATGACAGTGRGCRAGACTCAGTATTGCACGCATACACTGTACATTCTTAGCCGTTAACTGAAAYRAAATGAATAAATGTAAYGRRCACCTTTACAATCATGTCCCCGGGWCCCTTTTTYCACTTACCGATACAGGTCCATGGGACCCACCAAGGGGAGTACCAGAAAGCACAGTCCCTCCTCCTAGGGACCTAGAGAGTACCGCATGATCACYCCCAGCACCTACTGAATCTGACATAGAGCCATGGCTTGCTGGTGGGTGCTTGATGTAGGATACCTGTGCTTTTCCTGAATGAGGGTTGACAACAGTCAATGTGTAATGAGGAGGTAGTGAAGCTTTGCATAATGAAGTTATGAAAGCATCCCTTGGGGTATTAAGGTGAAGAATGCCGCACACATTGGAAAACATTTGGTAGGATTTGAGAATGGCTTCTGTTGCTGTTTCATCATTACTGAAAGAAAAAACAGAATCTATTGTAAAATCTAAAAGTCATAACACATAACGAATATCTCTTGGAATATCTGAATACCTCGCCTCAAGTAGTATCGATAAACATGCCAATATTCCACACCACGACGCAGTAACCATTTCTTTGCCGATATTACCACCACTAGTTTCTGTGGCATGACAAGAATCAAACAATAACTTCCATTTGTTCATCCATCCATTTATTCATTCAYAATTCTCATTTTACCTTGATCTGCTGATTTATCTTTAGTAATAGCATCGATRCTAGTTGCACCAACACCAGTATCACTAGATTTCTCAACATGGTCCTCAGGYTCTATCCAYCCTTGAACTGTTGGAGGAGGTTCCCCTTGRACTACTAGAGTATTAAGGCCCTTTACAATCTCAAGTACACAGGCAAAGGCAATGGAAAGTGTGTAGCCTTCTGGGATTGATGGGGTATCTTGCTTGTCAAGGTGATCAAGGCTAAATAATCAGACAGAAATCTGTTAAATTTCACATGAACCAAACCCAAAGCAAATTCTTCCATTTTTCTGTTCATTTTCATCTCACTTTGATTTAGCTCTTTACATGTGAGATGAGACATAAATATCAATAATTGCGCTAGACATAAATATCAATAATTGGAATGTATAATATCGTAACTAATTGATTATTAAATCTTACTAAATTGATTTAGCCTGTCCAGAAACTGGCATGACAGTCAGTGGGACCCACGCTCCTTGATACAAAAACCCAGGCTGTGGAGTCACCCCTCCCATAGCACTTAATGCCATGACTGAGGGGGTGGGGGCACTGGAAGATGTTTGTATAGTCGTTCCAATAGGTCCAGACCCCGAGCTTGGCCCTGTGCCATGTGATGTTTGGCTGGTGAATCGGGATTGGATAAAACTTGATAAAGCATTGATGATGCTGTGGAAGATCTTTGTGGAGTGTTCTTGCATATCGTAGAACTGGCAGAATGACCTTGAATATATACAGATTTACTTGAGATTATGTCTAAATGTATTCCATTTTCAAAAATCTTTGTTGGTTGTATTTTTACGTAGTTTGTATATATTATAAGTATATTTATAAGTAGTTTGTTGAATCAACCATGAATAATTCTAACACTTTATTCCAAGCTTTCGACCTAAGCAGTCATCTTCAGGGAACACAAAGATGTTACAAAAACAAAAACGCATTTAAACTGAAGTCAAATTGTTTTGAACTGAAGATGACAGCTTAGGTCGAAAGCTTGGAATAAAGTGTTAAAATTATTCATGGTTGATTCAACAAACTACTTATAAATCTATTCTGTTTCATTCAAGCAAAGTCTTACTGTAATAATGCTGGTTGCACTGTAAGAGTGTGAAGAACCTCCAGTGCTAAAGCACGCTGCCATAAWGGTTTATCAGCTTCCAGGAATTTCACCAAAAGAGACAAAAATATCTCACACTCTGTGACCTGTAAATCATGAAACTTCATTAGCAATTCAATTCCCTTTTTAAGTTCTTTTTAAGAACTAAAAATCAGGCTAAAACCTGAAGCTAAAAGTCAGCCTGTTTGGGATCCCTCTGGAGAGGAGGCTACCAAGCCAAGTAGCTTGCAGAGGAAKCCATAGCCATCATTAAATAACTGACTACTACTAACTCTCCCATTACGGACACCTTGCTACAACGGACACCTCGATATTGCAGACAGTAAAATACTGAATCCCAGGCGAAAAATACAAAGAAATGACTGGAAGTAACTCCCCTCTCACTACTGTGGACATTAAATTACAGTCCCAAGGGTGTCCATAATAGCGAGAGTTAACTGTATTAGAATATGCTCTGTTTGTGAGCCAATCAAAGCTGAATGTAGCTTTTTAACTTACCAAAAGAGTATAAAACTGTTCAATGAGCACAGATACTATTCTAAGAAGTCTTGTTGCAACAGGATAAACCGGCCTCTCAATGGAAGCAGGAGATGATTGTGAACCACTTTGTCGATACTTGATGCTCGGTGAGAAAAGCTTGATTATCAATGGACAAACTCTTTCTTTCAGAAGAAAACTAAATTCAGGATGCTAAGAAGGAAACAGTTAAAACAGTAAGAATATTATTTAAGAAAACAGAAAGCAGGGCATAAAACTATATTCTTCAGATAATCAGCAAAGAGTGAAAACTTTATAATCAAGAAAATAACCAGCTTATATGTACTTAGATAATAAACTTTTACCTTTAAAAATATATGTGGATAGCCTTTGAGAACAGATTCCAGAAGCTCTAAGCCAAATGTCCTTGTCATCTCTAATACTCCATATAACCAGTAAGGCTGCTCTCCACTGGTCAGTTGACACAAGTCCTAAAACAAGATCAGCAACGATTACACAAACACAAATAATCAGACATATATAAAACTCATATATCTTTAAGAATTCTTACTTGAAAGAGTAAATAAGCATCCCTGGCAGATGGTCGTAGGCTAACAGGACAGTTTTTGTGTCTGTTGCTGGAGGTTTCTTCAGTTTTCTCTTCTTCTAGAAAACAATCAGATTTGAAAGATATTTTTTTAATCATTTCCTAGGCAATCAACCAAGTTAAACAATCATATAAAACTTCAAGTTTAGCGTTCTCCACACACAACTTGACTGGGTTTCCTTTGTCATAGGCACTGGAGAGGTCTAGAACCTTCAACTGTGATAAAATGGTGGGTATAACAACAATAAAAGAGTGAGTACCTATTGGTTTAGTATCTTCAGTGACGACCCTATCAAACAAAACAGACACCATCTGACGAACTGTTGCTGCTGCTGTTGCACTGACTGTTGTGTCTTTTACAAAGTAAAGTCTGAAGCACATTGCCATTGCCTTAAAAGAAAAAACATATCCATAATCAAAGTACTCTTACCTATTACAGTATGGTGATTGAAACTGAGTACACTTTGATAAAATGTTTAAATACTAAGTTTTGCTTCTTCTATGTAAGTTTTTTAATTTTACACTTTGACTAATGTTATTAATGAATCATGATGCACTTTTGAAGTCAAAATCTCAAACTTTTGAATAAGCCAATAACAAATTCATAGAGTATGGACACTTGATATTATTGGTTCTATAATAAAACTGACTGGATTTACTGCTGTCTGCTTGGTCAGGTTAATCTAGTGGCTCCAGTCTTTAGAAAAAGTTTAATTGTGAATCACTAAAGAGTTAAAAGGACATAAAAAGACAAAAGATTGGTAAAATATTGTATGCAAGTGTACCAACCTTTCCCAAAGAATCTCCATACACAATATTTGAAGTTGTAATAAGTAAAATAACAGTCTGTAAGATGCGAAGTTCCTCCAAACCACTCTCCATCAAAAGCCATAGTGTACTCACTAAATTATTTGCTGATGACTAAAAATAACACAAAAAAGTTTTAAAAATATCTACCTTTACCATTTTCACAAGGCAATAATATATTCTATAATGCTATACATCAAGAACAAAGAACCACTGCTAAATGCACAATCKGACTCAATTAAGTCAAAAGTGTTCTAAAATAAGATTATCCCAAGAGACATGTAATATATTCATATAACATAAAAAACTGTAGTGATCGATCTAATAAATTATTCTTGAAAATGACGCGYGATGGCGTCGAAACGTCGAAATCTCTTGTTGTCCTAACTTGTTTAACAAAACTTATTAAGCACAAACAACTAATAATATATTYACCTCTGAAATTGCTTCATTTGTAATGAGTCTTTGAAGTGCTGTCAGTGATATCTGAATAACTCTGAGGGATTTAGTAGCACATCCAAGCACAAATGGTTGTACAATCTCATTCTCCTCAGCTATAGCTGTGAGGTTAAGACAAATGAATAGAAAAAATGAGACAGAGAAAACATAAGACTGGTGGCTAGAAGTAATGCACTTAATCTCTGAATGATACTACAAAATAGACATTATATTATAAATAATATTATTATTATATGCTAGAAATAATGCACTTAATCTCTGAATGACACTACAAAATAGACATTATATTATGCCAATTCTTTTGTTTTCAATTGTATAAATTAATACTAATTAGTAGTAATTAGTAATAACAGATCAGAGTAGGTTCCATTTGACCGTGAAAGATTAGTGGTACTATTAAGCTTATTAATAGTTATCACACTCTGAATTTTATGGTTCACAAAGAAAAGTTTAAAATAATAAATAAAATATTTCTCATCCATTAGAGAGATAAAGAATCTATGTAAGATGACACTATTAAGATATTGTAATGATACAACCTTAACAATTACTCAATTAGAACATATTTCAATTCTACTTTAATTGCTAAATGATGCAATTGTACGCTTTGATGATTCTTCATTGAAATAATATACATACCAGTTGTAATTCGCTGATTTCTAGCTGAGATGGTTTTCAATCTTTGGATACCAGCTTCAGCAGCCTTAAAATAACACAAATAAAAAAAGAGTGATTTAAATAGCACACTTCAATCAACTTAGTCTTACAAAGCAGCAAAAAATAAACGTTTGCAAATTAAACGAACGAGCACATATTGGATAATCATAAAAAGAAAGAAATGAAAATAGAAATAGATAATTAGGGAACACTGTGAATTATTAAAATTTGCCTTAGGTTAGTCACACACCTCTTTAACGGGGTGAAATTTTCTCTTCGTCTCATTCGACAAGGCTCGAAGATCTGAGTGTACAGAGTCTAAGAACTTCTTCGTCTTATCATCCAAGCGCCTGGACATTTTCCGCAGAAATAATTTTACAAAATTACAATTTGTTTAGTGATTATTATCATTCTCTTTTACGATTTTAGGTTACTCCCTTTGATGACACATGCGGGATGTGTTTATAATCTTTTCGTGTTGTGGTAATCACCCTCGGCCGCCATCTTGGAAGGCTGATGTGGCTCGACCCAGCCTTCTTGAGGCTTTCGGTCAAGTATGGCAAATGAAACCTGGGTCAAAATTGCGCGATATTTTATTTATGTGTTTCCTCATTCATTCGTCCGTTTTTATAATAAAAGTGATCTATAAAATTTTCCTTTAAGGGACAAAACTCAATAACAAATCATCTGTGAAGAAACTGAAAAATTTCAGTCAGTCTAACACTATAAAGGTCATCCACTTTCATCGTAGACGACAAGCTAACCATGCTCGCAAAGGGACTAGTCAATTCACACACTTATCAAGCTGTTCATTCACAGAAATGTATATTCTTCAGTTTTTCGGAAATAAATAAATTGCATTTTATTTGTTTTCTCTTAAGTTCAATTACCCAGTTGCGAGATTTTTCCACGCTATATTTTATCAATCCTTTTTCTATCTTTGTTTTTGTCATTAACTGATAAAATCTAAAACGCTGGCTATATTTACAGCTCGGCAATTAACGTAACTTTTTTCTMGCCCACACTCTCTCCTGTGTACATGGTGGTTTTAGGCATTACGCTGCGTCAGTTTGGAGAGCGTTGTCTGTTACTGTGTAAGGTGATTCATAAGCTGATTCATACTTAAACTTTGCTAGTGTTCCCTAGCACCTAATGTTTTAAATGTAAAAGCAACAAACCGATGACAAAAACAGGCAGTAAAATAACTGTCTTCCTGCGCGATCACTATACACCGGAAGTTATTGTACTGTCATCATGATCTAATTGGATGGAACCTTGGCTAATATTAAATTTCTATTTTCTTCCATTTGCTTTTCGTTGACAAARAAATGATATTTTCGGCACACTTCCTTCTTGCGGTGACTCATTTGGAAAGACAAACAGGTGACGCATTGGTTTTTGTCTGGAGCATATGATTCTGTCGTCGAACGAGTCACTAGAATAGCAGATAGCACGATATCTACTCGAAAGCTTGCCGTCTCCAAAATATATTAACAATTTATCAAAAGATTGCGGTCCCCAGACAATCGCTGGAATATATATTTTGTATATTGACATTACTTCCGGTGATATGGCCTTTTCATTTTTCTAATGGTTTCGCTGGTGSTTTATTTTGAGAAAACAAAAAGGAAAAAGAAAATTAGAATAACGGGAAAATAATCAAGAATGGGCAAAGCCATTTGATCAAAATAAACAGATAAATKAATGGGTGAGTCAGTAGTAAACTGAATTGAACTAAAAAATAAATTTGAATTTGAATATGTACTACTAGTTTTTTCATATTGATTTCATTGTCGAGTATCGCTGGAAAATTTAACAGCCATTGTAATGAAATTATTGTTAATACAGTAATAAAAGAATTTTTGAGGTAAGACTACTAAGCTCTGTGGTCAACTGGTGGGAGTGCACTCAATCAAAAGTCAAAACACTGTCAATACTTCATTTTTTTGATATACGAATTGATCCAATTAAATTAAAACTATGACATGTTTTCAAAATGAAATCAAACTGCAAAGAACTGAAAGAGACGTGTCCATGAAGCAAAATCCACTTCTCATACTTTCTGAAAGTTACTAAAAAAAACGCAAATGGGGACTGTAAGCACGCCGTAGCGGAAGCATGYTCTCAACGGCCAAGGGGATTTCATGAGTTTATTCATTTTGTGAATTGATGAAAATGAAATTAAACGCCAAAGACGACCAAGCGAGCACGCAAACTAATTCWYAAAAAGGATCGAAAAGGAGAAATTTCCCGTTTTGCAGCTTGCCTTTCTTCGGCATATTTAGTACGTTTAATAAATTGGCTGTTTGTGGATTGACAACTAAAATAACAGCTGTAGCTATTGTTTTCTTGTAACGTTTTTTTGGTGTGACATTAATACAGCTTTGAACATTCGTTTCACGAGTTTAGCATCTTATAAGGTAYYCCTCCACTTCATATTTTTTAGTCGCAGATAAAAATTGAGTTGAAAAAAAAGTACTTGGGTTATTACGAATACATGAGTCAAAAACAAACCAAAACGATTACCGGAAGTGTTCGCGTGTTACCTTAGCGTGACGAATGTTTAGTTCCTGTGTTATCAACTTCCGTTGACCGATTATGCTAGCCCAGCTACCTCTGCAGGAAGTCGATTTGAGTTTCATATACAGAAAGCGATCAGCGACAAAAGCATTCGATTCTTGAACGCTGAGACCTGCAGAGCTAGGAATATYATTCACAGGTAAGAATATTTTTAGTCCATTTCTATAAGACTATTATGTTATTATGTTCCACAATATTACACTCACAAATTCAATGCCTTCCAATATTTTTACACAATTTTATTGCGGAATCTCGTGGGATTGATGAGTACATATAGTTTTGATTGCATCACTGGCGTGCTGAGCGTTTTTATTCGCCTACATGGCCAAAAATATACAAAAAGAGTTTAGTATAAATTTCAGGTTAACAAAATTATGTTTTTCACTTTTTACTCGCAGTAAAAAAATATCAATTACTGCCACTTTCAGTTAAAATGCCGTAAATCATAAACTAAGATTATCATTGAAATATGTATATGGTGCTTAAATGAAATATTGAAAAAGACCTAGTAGAAACGCTAGGAAATTCTGAAACCTCATCTTCCTTTCCAAGCACTWTTCTTTTCCTCCTTTCTCTGTCTCTGTTTCTTAATCAATGAATTTCAATTAAAACCATCTAGATAAAAAACTCTTTAGTTTATTTATTTTGATAACGATAATTATTATCATTAAAATGCTTTTATCATTTTTTAGTTGTCTTTTCAATAGGATTTTTATCATGAAATATTAGAGCTCTGAATCTGTTTTTTTTTTTCTTTTTTTAATCTCCTCATTCTAATTGAAACCGTTCGCTCTTGATAAATTTACATGTAGTACAGACAAAGAATCGATGTATTTCTTATCATGGTGATATGTTATAGATTTTTCCATGGATATGGATATAATCCCGTGTAAAATCATGAAAAATGAATCGTGTTAGATGCTTCCATTCAAATCGAATCAATATCCACTAAAAAGAACAGCCCTTTCAATCAAACCCACTCTTTCTATTTCAAAAGCATCTTTTTATTTGCGCAAAGCTTTTAATTCCCGAAAAACGTGCGTTAATTGACCGTAATCAAGAGAAAGRACAAAGAAAGAAACAGTATTATAAGTTTTTCATTCTACATTTCCTGCATTTCCTGTAGGTTTTATTCCGTGTCGTAATTATAACGCATTTCGCTTAAATTCTATATGTGAATACCCACAAACKTCCGTCTTCTGAGCTAAACAAACTCTCTTCTCAAGCGTTTGTCAGATAGAGATTATTTCGTAATTGGATGTTTGTCATTTACTTCCTCAGGAACCAGTTACATCAGAGATCATGATGGCAGGTAACTATTATATTCTATCTATATCACGTTTTCTCTATATACTTTGAGATTCAAAGGTTGATAGCGATTAATTTCGGATCAATTTATTGCTAATTTGACGTAGGAGCGCTCTGGGAGATAAAGGGTTTTTGAGTGAGATCATCGCGTTTGAACGTGATGGAGCTTTTTTCYTCGTTAATTCACTATCTTGTGTAGTAATTACTAACGATGAAGCAGATATTTTTGCGTCGTTTGTGTTATGCCAACTGCKCTTTTTAGTTCTTCCTGTTTCTAATTAAGTTTTATTTCCATTTTATAATTTCCTTCCTTTCAAATCTTGTACAGTAGTAATAATCCATTATCTTTCTTTATAAATGGTTTTACAATTGTCTGTATAATTTCTTTTCATTGGATTGTGAGAGTCCGTCAGAAGGTTCTAATCCCGGTACAAAGCTAAAGTTTATCCAAATCAGTCAGAATCAGCTGATTTCTTAGTAAACTGATCACTCWTCCACTCCTATTTTTCATTKTTTCATTRAAGCAGCTAAAGCTGTGTTCATAWCATATAATTAGAGCTCAACTACAGTCCTTTAAAGGACGTTAATCTTACCCTCGTTTACCTTCTATTTCTCTTTCCTTTTTCTGTCTTTCTTTTTGTTTATTCCTATTTTTATCCCTATTTGTTCAGTMATTACGTATGTTTCAAACTTGTATTCCATGTGTCTGTCTGTCATAGCAGTGTAATCAAGCGCAGAATGAAATTGTGAAAATGAAGCTGATACAATTTATCATATAATTAATCAGCTTAAATATGATTTAAGTTCTCTATAGAAACGTAGTATATAAGTCTTATTACTGATTCTCGATCCTAGGGCTTTTAAGCCTGATCCTTGATTCTCAATATAACCACAATTTTGATCGCTGATCTTTACTAACTGAATCTTCCTGTTTTTCACTTTCTAGAACGAAGAAGACATACTAAAACTTCAATTCATTTGTGGGAGTTTCTTCTTGATCTCTTGTCCGACGAGAAATGCTCCTCCCTAATCACATGGACCGATCGTGAAGAGGGAGAATTCAAATTAAAAAATCAAGAAGAAGTTGCAAAAAGATGGGGACACTTAAAGCGAAGACCAGGCATGAACTATGATAAGTTGAGTCGTGCACTCAGATATTATTATCAGAAAGATATCATTAAAAAGGTACTTTTAACATCTTTTAACATATCTACAATTCTGTAAGGTGTGACAAAAATAAAGCGTTTATACATCGGCGAAAATCGGCCGAGACTGTCAGCGATTGACGAAATTATTCCGACATCTATCCGAAACGTGCCCGAAGTTGTTCCGGAAATTGTGACCTTCCAACTTTCTGATTCTGATCAGACATAGTGTTCTACTATGCCAGTAACCACAAAAAATCAAATGTCAATGTCAGTTTTTCTCTTTATAGGTGAATGGCCAGCGGCTTGCTTACAAATTTGTAAACCTTCAAGCATGCGCAGAAAAACTCCCAAAGCAAGAGAGGATGTCACCTTCACCTTCAAGTCAAAATGACATGACCGTGAAAAACAATGAAGTAGTTCCCTACTTAACACAAAGCTCGCCGCTAAACTCTTTTCAGACCGTGCAAGCGCCTACTCAACTCAGTTATCCATACTCACCGCTGACCAAACCTAACGTTGGATTGCAGTTTGTCCATTCACATTCACCTGTGTGCGTCAATGGTCACGTGACGTATCCTACGTATCAATACGTCATTCCTTTCCAACTTTCTTCGGTTTGTCCATGTCATTGATCTGTCTGTCTTTTCCGACTGTACTGACGACTTCCGGTAGACAATTAGTTCACCTATGTGCAGTAAAACCAGGAGCCCAATGGGCTCCTGGTAAAACTCACTTCCGTCTGTCTGTCCGAATGTACTAACGACTTCCGATCGAAAGTAGTTCACCTGCAGTACAACTCACTTCCGTCTGTCTGTCACAGTATTGCAAAATAASCTGTGCTAACCTTCATGTGAGTTCCAGTCCGTGTGTCATCAAGCGGACTTCCGTCTGTCTGTCCTTTAGATTTCTTCCTTATGGATTCCACTTACGCCCTTGGTGCGCAATCTTATCTAATCCTTGCTTTGGATGCACAGTCAGCGCCACTAGTCCATAAAATCATTATAATAATAATAACTAATAATAGCTTATGCACATTGTCTGGTATTTTGTAGAGAGAGTAATACTAAGATATTATAAACCACAATCAACGTGCATTACCTACAGAAAAAATTCAAAATATATCAAAATAAATTAAAATGTGTATATATAGAAAAAAGTCATTTGAAAGACATCGAACGCTCTTTCCTTTCTCCATAAGTATGGATTTCTTAATTCAAGTAGATATTCAGTTATTTCATAAACGTTTGGTTGAAATAAACCATTAAAATGAATGATCGAATGATCTTGTGGGTATTAAATATTGATGAATGGTATCCAGCAATCACTGTAGCTGATTCCTGCATTACTAAATGAAAAGGGACTTCGTKACACGTTTAGTATTTTTTCTAAGTGTTTTCATTAGCTTACTGATGTTTTATTCATCATGATCAATACCCAAAGCAAATTCCTGTAATGCATTCTCTATTCTCTTCGAATTACTTTTCAGAAATAGTTGTAATGATCTTTGGACTAGTTAAGCTTATTTGAACTTGTACATATAAATGTTGATAGTCTAATAAACCAAAATAGTTGTTATACATCATATTGGATTTATCTGTGGAAATAAAGCATCATATCCTGTATTACATACTGAACATACTTCTTCTTTAATAGAAGTTGATTAAAGTTATCAAAATAAAATAAGTCACTTAACACTCGCTCGGGGGGGAACGCTTGGACGAGCAAGCATCCAAACGTTCAATAAACACCTTTGGGGGCCSTGCCATCGGAAATAACTCATTTATATTGCAATAAAAGATAAATAATTTACTGGCCCCATACAGCTATTGCAATTAAAAACACGTCCATTTTCCAGTTGTATTTTCAGCCGACGCTTCGTCAAACGTTACGGTACTGCAAACCTTTAAGTGCCCTATATATAGGTAGTACTAAAAATGCTACATCTAGCTATTGATTGGCCAGAGAAGCGCGCGCTGCGGAAGAGCCCTAATAGCAGGAGATACAACTAGTTTCAACAAGGAACTTTTTCCGGAAGTTCTTTGTTCTACACGGCGCCATATTAATATAGTATATTGCWTTTTTTCCTGTTTTGGTGCGTTAATGCTTATGTTTGCCTTTATTGTTGTTAAATCAACGTTGTTGTTGACTGAGTGAAGTCCAATTCAGTTCAGGTAAGATTTCGAGCAAATATCACTAAGTCCTTTAGTTTTAGCCATCTGCTCAGAGCATACTAACTGTGCTGAGAGTTAGCAAGCTAAGTGAATTGTTAACAAAGACATTTTTGCTCTTTTTCGAAAAAAGGCTTCACTAATATTTTGTTAATGTATCGGTCAATTCGTTGCACAAGTTTTCAAAACAGTATTTCGAGTAATGGTCGTAACATTGACTTCGGCTTTATTGTTAATTCTCATCGTTTCCACATTGCTTCCTCGTGTTTTGGAAATGTTATATATAGCTATTGAATCTAGATTATTATTGCTATGATAGGGTATAAACCATAGCTCATATATATATCTTTATGAAGATGATGAAATCCATACAAAACGTATGGAATAGATAACGGCTCTACCAACCCTTCGTACAACCGACTCCTCTACGAAGCAAAACGTCGTGTCATTACGCAACTTCAGCAACAAGACTTTCAAATGTTTTGTGCATCAAGTGTTTACATGCGTTTTAGGAATTCGTACAACTTTTTAGAGTTGAATTTCAGGTTTCTATCATGTCATTTATTCAAAATACTTCAATATGTCCCTCAAAGATTGTGCATTCTAAATACCTTCATTCAGTTTTACCTAATGAAACAAGAAGTTTAAGAAGAAACAAGAGTTTAAAATCGTAGATGGGAATTGTGTTTTGCTTACTAGAAAACTGAAAATGAAGTTTAGATGACTAATGCACAATTTTTCCATGTCCCTTCTGAAAATGATTCACAACTGTTTTGCTATYAACTGCACAAGAATGAAGAAAAAACATACTACTTCTGATATTTCCGCTTTTTATTGCCATTGACAACATAAAAGATGTTTCAAGAAGTCGATAATGTTCAAGGATAGATTTCCGAGAGTCTGAGTAATGGTGTAATGTGGAGTCACTGCAACCCTCACAAAAATACACTCACATACGCCTATTTATAGCCATGTCACGTGATTATGTCACGTGCTATGTCACGTGATTATRACGTTTTTAATTGTTCAATTTTATGTATTGGATTAAATCAAGAAAACAAGGWCACATAGATTGACTCAAACCTAAACGGCCGAATTAAAAAAATATATAATAATAATAAATTGACGTTAAATTTCCTGTAATAAAAAAAATTAAAATTAACTCTGTAAAGCATTATATGCCACAAACATAATGATAGCAGTGTTGCATAGTAGTTTCAGGTCACCATTCCGTTGCCCATGTAAACTGGGAACCAATAATTTGATAACCAGTGATAAGTACAAAGGGGTTGAGCAAAAAATTGCCTTTCTCCTGCTATTCTTTTTCTTTTTAGTACACGGCATTCATGTAAAGCAGAGTTATGTTAGTTTTGATTAGTATTGTATTTTGTTTTTTGTAGATTTATTACCTTTATTAGTATTTTTTAAATTGTATTTTATAGTATTTTAATTGTATCTGATGAATTTACCGTGTTTAAATAAAGTTACTATCTAACTCTGTAGATTCTATTTTGAATTTTGATTTAAAAGTACTATACAACCAAACATTAACATTTAGATCAGCCAAACAGCAAAGATGTTTGTCAAGGAAGATTGAACTGATTATAATATAAAGTTAAATAAAAAAATAGAGACAAAAGATAACGAACAAAGAACACCTATCATAACACACCAAAACATGCAACAACTTTGTAAATATGAAATATGCATTCATATCTACTAAACCCTGTAAAAGATCCTGTTGTTACTTGCATAGTACTTCGGAGGATCAATTCATGAAATTATTTTACCTTGGGGCGGAGTCCCCAAGTTCAATTTTGCTCCGCTATGCCTGGTGATCCACAAAGCATGCAGGATATATGTGTGGGTGRACTGTCTAAAATTGGACCTCTTAACTTGCTACTTTTAATGAAGAATGCTTGGAATGGAGTTCCTTTTCATATGAACACAATTACACATAGTAACTTCATGAGAGCAGAATTGAAAATGATACAATCTATCTGCTTATTATTTGGACCTTGAGGATTGAACTTCCGGTCAGTTTTGAAACAGTGATACATTTTGATAAWMAGTCATCTTCCTGTTCGCCCAAAAATTCAGTGTCTAGCAATTTGAACCGCAAGATTGAACTAAACTAACAATGTTGGTATCGGAACATTTTAGATGTACTAGTAAATAATACTATACCAAGAAATAATAAGATTGAGAGGAACTGATTCCAAGATCAGGCTTTTGAGGTTATTTTGTTATGACTGCTCATTGTAGCAGCCAGTTCTTAAACACCGTACCTGTGCATTGAACTAATTTAGTTAAACATTTAATGTCGGTCCACATTATTATTCGGTCTATTATTATTTCTAAGGCAGCCTACGGGCATGAAGATTTGATGATTTTGCTGACTTTATTGAGGAACCTCACCCCTTCCGTACGTTTTCCCTCGTTGGCGTTAAAAAGTATCTTTTTTCTGTCCGTGTCTAGCTGGGATTTCCTACCGTCGCGTGCTTTTACTAGCTTGAATGCATTTTAATACAGATAATACAAATTAGCTGTTGTTCTAACTGTGCATGTCTTGTGGTAAAACTGGAGCGATAATTGATTCCACCCTACAATGGAATGCTCCATTATTTATGCTTTCCTAAGGATTAGTTACGCCATAATCATTAAATAAATAAATGAAAAATAAATAAAGAGGTATAAATTTCGCTTGCTCAGTTTTAGTGAAATACTGCATCAATTTTTGAATGGCGAGAAGTGTTTTCTAGGTCTGCAGAAAACTTTTAGGTAGGATCGAYTGAGCATTTAAAAACTGTATGAAAGCGCATCAATAATCATTTTCTTTAAAACAGGCAAAGCAAGCTAAAAAGTCTACAAGAATGAAGGGATTCGAAGAAAGACCACGTTTCAAAAACACCATCCATCTTTGGGAATTCTTGATGGAGCTACTCAATAACGAACGGTACGCTTCCATCATTGAGTGGACGAGTAAAGACGAAGGAGAGTTCAAGCTTAAAAGACAGGAGGAAGTAGCGAGACAGTGGGGGCTGCTTAAACAAAGGAAAGGCATGACATATGATAAACTGAGTCGATCTCTTCGATATTACTACAACAAAAAGATCATTACAAAGGTATATTTCTGATTCAATGATAAACAATTCATCGTATCACTAATATCTAGTAATATGATATAAGATATGATATAAGTGGGARACCTTTATGCTACGAGCCGAAGGCGAGCATTTTTATTTAAAGCCCATTAACATTTGGGCATAAATATTCTATATTRCTTATCAAATTCCAGCATRAGCTGSAGCATATTTTGCTAAAACATTCAAATAAGATATTATTTTCAAGAGAAAATCCAAGGTAGTCGTATGCAAATCAGGACAAAATCTYTTGCTCTATAARGAGGCGRTCACGACAAGATTTTCCATTGYATTTACATCGGAATTAATAATAATTTGACTCATGAAAACTACTTATAGAATAGTCCATGCAAAAAACGAATTTTCTTCGTAAGTTACGGAACAACTTGCCATGTTTTTCATAATGATCTGATTTCAGAGAAAATTTTCCTCTAAAAATGATTAGGATAAGTTTTATTGAGTTTTTTCTTTTCTATTTTTTTGTCTCCAGGTTTCAGGACAAAAGCTGGTTTACAAGTTTCTCMATTTGCCTTTTGAGTATCTTCCTCTTCGAAACATGGACCAAACCACAAGACGAAAGCAACTTAAAGGACAAATTGACAAACCACTTCCTCCCACGGAGAAAACATGCCATCAACAACAGCCGTTTGCACTTCACGAAAATCCACGCGAATTCACCTTTGRGCTGCCTCGACCATCCGTTATACGAAGCACTGCTGGAAACTCAATTACTTACACCAGTAGACCCGCTGAAAAACTMCCAAGTCATCCTAGTGTCATGTCAAAAAGTCAAATAATTTTTCCATTTTGTGGAAGATGCATCGAGACAAAGTTTCACTGATATAAAATGCGAAAATATATGAGAACATTTGACTCTTGAAATGGAGGTTATTCTAGTTGCAATCAATGCACATCTATAGTGTTTGTATCAAAATGTATTTTAATATGTATATTTTTCCATTATGTCTATATAACTATGACATCTGTAGAACCTAATTTGGACACGTAGTCAGCATATTACATTCAAAAGTTTTTAAAGACTCCGAACTTTGAACTTCCTTGGGCTGGGGTGGGTCGATTTCTCATTGTTGTCTTAAAACTCGACGGCCTTGCGAAATGAAAACGAAGATGACGTCAAAGAGAGCAGTCGGACATTTCGTGACGTCGGTGGATTTGTTTTGACKGTCACGGCCTGTAAATGTTTACCCAAAGGGAACGAATATTGTGATAACCAAAGTGTTTGAGTTGACTCTCTCATATGCTATTTATAGGATACTGTATTAGAAAGGTTTATCATTTTTTCATCCTGTTTTTCTTAATGTCAGACRACAGTATTACGAGCTCCAAAGTTAATATCAGTCAATGACGTTGTTTCTAACGTCTGATACCAAATTATTTAGAATTCTAATCCACTCAAGTTGCACGCAGAGGCCGTGTAAAAAGTGTGTCGCTTTATGATTGAAATCTTGATCTACCCATGAACAAATTGTGAAGAGGAAACGATATAGAAGATAAAGTAAAATTGATTGTATCAAACTGACAGATGMCAAAAACACTTGCGTTTTCCTATGTTTAAAAAACTACCAAAACAAATTACTATATGCTATATTATAACACTTATTACCAGCGTCAAAGCAAAGTATTTATGAACTCTAAGATAATAACACTCTTTGTGTGAAGGTACTTATCTAATTTCATCCCCTAATTGCGCCGCCATTTTGTTCATCTCAAATTGTTACAATTTTAAATTTGCAATTGCCTAACATTGTTTATAATTGTGATTATTGCATTTCCGGGAAACTTCAAATAAGTTGTTTTCCGAAAGGTTTCTATTTTAACGAGTGCCGTAGTCTTTSCAGTAGACCATGAACATGCCGTGACGTCTTCCCTCGTTGTATTGATTACGAGACACTTAACATTGAACGCAAATGACATCTTCCTACAAAAATAAATCGTACGTTATCACGTACAACTGAAAACAGTGTCCCTAATTTATAACTTTTTACGACAGAAACACCATCAAGTTATCGAACTCAAGAGCTCTGTACGCTCTTCTAAATATTTCTTTAAAAAGAAGTTAATTTTGGAGTGATTTTAATGTCAGCATTCAAACATTCTCCGCAAAGTTGTCCCCGTAATGAATTCCGCATTTACGTCCGAAGAGGTCAATTGGTCAATCCCAAAGATCGTTTCCTTCCGGTCAGTGYTCTCCTAAACAAAACATCAAAGTTCTAAAGCCCATTAATCAATTCATAATGAAGTTTTCTAATAGTACACCACTAAGATGAACAATCATTACCCAATTAAAACTACCATAGACAACTCTCTTCATTGCTAAAAGACTAAAATATACTTTAGTACATTTGAAAATGTAGGGTAAAAATGCTTTTATGCATCCACTCTAACTGCGATCATTTCCTCTAAAGGAAATATTAATCTAAAAAACAGTTTAATTCAAGAAGGATATACATTCAGTCAACTTGCGTAATCTTAGGGCCCAACCTAAAGCAATATCGTGCGTCATTAGYTTCTTTGTTTCCCGCCAATAGACGCTCGCTCTAAGGCTCAGTGAATGACGTACGTGGGCGAACGAACCAATCACCGTCCAAAKTTCAAACTAGAAAATTCTTATAACTTGATAGCTGGGTCATACTTTTATTTGGAATAAAAATCTACGCACGTAGAAGACCTGAGTGTGTGTAGGCCTTGAAACTTTGTAACTATTTCAAACGGACTTCCGTTCAACACATCATGGGAGACACAAAGACAACAAAGCTAGGTGAGTTCGAGAAGGTTCTCYCTTCTCTCTAGAATTATTTTGTTTTGTGTCTTTTGCTATCAAGTCTTAAATGTTATTTTAATGTTTCAATTGTCAAGTTATTTAATCAAGCATGATATGATTATAATTGTTTCTTTTGAATGAAATTTCTATATATTCTTTGRTGATTTTACGAGTATCTTTGTGTATTAGTAACACTAAACACACATTACATTATCATATGCAAACACAGCCTTACTTTGAGTAYAGTCTAAACCATTTTAAAAAGATGTGATTTGATACGTGTATAACAACCTTATAATCAAATACTTATGTTCACATTATAGAATAATAAAAAGAGGAGACTTAGTTATATTTTAGAAATATTTTATATTATTGAACATGTATTCAAGCTGCTGATTGTTAAACATTGTTTTGAATATGCTTAGTAATGTCTAACTTCAATTAGATTTCCATTGTATGCGCTTATATCGTAACCTTAATTACATGTGGATTCAATATCACTAGCTCTGGATATTACGATGTGGTTCATCGCGGTGAATTGCACGATAACTCAAACATAATTTACTTTTTATAACAGAAACAACAAAGGGTGAAATGACAGAAATGCAGACCGAGCAAAAAAGTCCACAGGCAGCCACTAAGAGGCCTCGGTACAAAAACACTGTACACTTGTGGGAGTTCTTGCTGGAGTTACTTGCAGACGAACGATATTCCTCCATGATAGCTTGGAGTAGAAAGGATTATGGAGAATTTAAGCTTAAAAACCAAGAAGAAGTTGCAAGAAGATGGGGTATTGTAAAGCACAGAGCGGGAATGAACTATGAAAAGCTTAGTCGAGCTATAAGATATTATTATCATCAGGGAATCATCCAAAAGGTAAGAATTACTTTACCATC